CATGTAGAAGGGCTGGACATAATTTTTCATTAACTGTGATAAAGAATTGGCTAAATAAGCAAGCTATTTTTCAGATCTATAAGCCTCGTCCTAACTTTATTCAATATGCTTCTTTTAATAGAATACATGATTTAAATGAAGTACATCAATCAGATACTATTTCCATGCCCTATGATAAAATTGGCAATCGAATTTACAAGCACAGAGGAGTAATAAAAGATGTAGCAACTAGATTTCATAAAAGTTATGCTTTAACTAATAAGTCATCGACATCATTAGCTAAAATGTTTATGAAAATTTATGGTGATCCGAATTGCCTACTTACCTGGTCTAAAGTTTTAATTGTGAATAAAGATACTGAATACTTAGGTGAGTACAAAGATTTATTACTTAGCTATGGTGTAAAAATTCAGTATGCTGTAACTAAAGAAAGTGTTGCTATTGCTGAGCGTGATTATCAAGAATTTGAAAAATATGCTTTTTATAGACAAGATGCTGTAGATTTTCATTTACCATTAATTGAGAGATGTAGAGCTTGGGTTAAAGGCCTTCGCATAAATGATGATACTTTTAATAATACTGTTACTGGATTAATATATATAACTCCTAATGAGGCTGTAAAAAGAGCATTAAAAGGTAAAAAAATATTTGCAAAGCCAGTAGTAAAATATAGAAGACCTGTTGGATTTGATGAACCATGTTTGTCTTATAAAGATTTTGTTCGATATTTACTTAAACCTTGTGAATTAGAATATAGTCCACCTATAAGATGGATTACAGATAAAAATTGGTCTTCTCAGGTTTATCGGATTGAAAGTACTTTAATTCATGAAGGTCAACCTGTTATGTATAAATTAGAAGGTAGACCAGAAAAAAAATTTGTTCGTAAGCAATTACAATTGATTAAGAAAGTTGAACTTCTTCCCATGTAGGTGCTTAAATAATAATTTACTCATCTATAAGTATATCCTCAATAGCTTCTTCAATTTCTGTTTCAGTTATAAGCTGATCCTTTTTGGATAGCTCATAATAAAGATTATATAAATCTTCTATACTGGTAAGTAGTTCCTTTTTATCTTGATACCATTTTCTATATCTTGACATTCTTTTATTATATGCATCATTATTTGGGAAAAGTGTTATTGCTGTATAT